TAGATAGAGATGGTTTTAGGTTGCGTAGTGCTTTTTCAACATTGTCTTCTGTGAAATCGATATGTATTAGATCATTGTTGTTATCTGTGGTACGGCTAGGAAATACTGGGCATGATCCATTGCTGTTTACAAATACTGAGCCGAAGAATGTGTTAAAGATGTTGGCTTTAATGGTGTCGTCGTTGCAGTCTTTACCATCAGGTCCTATCAAGGGAGGGATGGACCTTGAGTCTTTTAGTTTGTTGTTTACAAAATTGTAAAAAGCACGGGTGGAATTGGTGCTTAGAAGGTTTTCCTCTTGTTTAATGTGATAATTGGTGCATTCGGTCTTTATCTGGTGGCATAAATTTTTGTATCGGTTTTTGAAATTGGCAACGTGACCAGATTTGTTTTTCCGCCAGAGTGATCTCTTTTTGGATTGAAGTTTCCTTATTGATATGGGTAATCTGCTTTTTTGTTTTGTTTTGGGAGTTGTTGTTGGTACATATAGTTTGATGACTCTTTTGACTTCAAGTAAAAATATGTTGTAATGGTCTTCAACAGTATTGCATCCAGTGAATAGAGATTGCCAATCAAGGGATGAGAGATCGTTGTGTATAAGATCATAGTTGCCTTTTTTGAAGTTACAATTGGGAATTACATCATTGTGGTGATTTTTGTGTGGACGCATGTTGAGACAAAAGTCAATCATATTGTGGTCGCTACTGGAAAAGGGTTCTTTAGTTTGTATTCCGTAAATTAAATTCAAACTATTGCAGAAGATGAGATCGAGGCAGTTGTTTAGTCTAGTGTTGTTGGTTACTAGTTGTTCCAGTCCCAGATTTGTAGTAGCATTGTAGAAGGTTGTGTGTATGATTTCAGTTGTACAATCATTTAGGGTCCAGTCAATATGAGGTAGATTGAAATCACCAAGAAAGATAAAAGGGTATGGGCAGGATGCAGCCCATGTTAGTAATGTATTTAGCTTGTTTACATGTTCGATGTCATAATCAGGTGCTCTGTAACATAGTAAGAATCGAATTGTGATATTTAAGGATAGTTCACAGATGATGGTCTCAGGAAGAGCAAGCTCCTGGGTAACTTGGATATTTTTTAGATGTAAGGATTTTTTATAGAAGATAGCAACACCACCTCCTCGACGATTTTCACGATCTGATCGGTAAACATGATAGTCTCTTACTGTGGTAATGGAGTCGGGGAGAGATGCATTGAGCCATGTTTCACAGACAAATATAATGTCAAAGTTAGCCATATTTAGGAGGATGAGAAATTCAGGTATTTTATTCACGAGGCTTCTTGCATTGAGTAGTTTGCATTTAAGGCCGGCAGTAGTTGGAATTGAGGTAGTTGGGGGCGTGCGTGCCTAGTCTTAGAGAGGGCTGTAAAGCACTGTGAAGCGATATATAAGTCTAAGTGCTATTGCTATTATCCACTTCTAGACAGAATTAGGGTGTGATACCAACTGATAAAAAGCCATACCACAGAATCCATTAGAGCTTCTTCTAGTAGGTATGAATCCAAAAAGTCCAAGAGTCTCTGACCTTTTAGGGCAAACATAAGCTCTTTAGAAAAGATTCATTCCCTTAATTTGCTATGAAAAACTATTCCGGTGGTGTGTTTCAGATTTGTTTGAACACCATTCTACTTAGCTTACTTCAGGGGTGGGATTCTACCAGCTTGCACCTATTCTCTAGAACCGGTTGTTAACATTCTAAGCAGTTTGGAGAACCGGTTGTTAGAAGAAATTACTGGCCTAATCCTGTAAGGAAGACAGGAAGGAAACATTCTGGTGTTGCTTACAGAAACTGCCTCTCCATTAACCCTTAGAACGTTCTTGGCAGGACTAGACTTCCTGTTTCAGGAACTTCTCTGGAGTTTTTTTCCCTTCCTTTGCTGGTACTTTGCTTGTGTGGAGTGACCATTCAAAGTTACAATGGCACTGAAAAAAGTGACTTATGACCATTTTTCACACTTACAACTGTTGCAGCATCCCCACAGTCATGAGAGGCCAGGCAAAGAGATGCGTGCCTTGATGTGAGTGATGTTGAGTTGACTACGCCCAGACAGTCACATGACCACCAAGCCATGACCACCAACTTAGCCATGCCCACAGAACCAGTTGTTAAAAAATTTGAATCCTACCCCTGGCTTACTTCAAGGAAATGATAACAGCTAAGATGTTTTATTAAGATAGAATTAATATATCATTCACTACTACACCTTTTCACAACACTACAATTTCTTGACTTAAGGAATTCCCAAATACAAAACTGCAGGATTATAGAGAATGCTTTGTCTTGAAAACAACTGGTAGTTTTCTTCAAAATTCAGCACAGGAAATGTGGACCTGGGTAAACTGAATCTATTGCAAAACTCTTTATGATGGAAAAACACCACAAATTCTGTTGCTAAAACAAATCTTGCTAGTGAGATCACTATGACTAGAATAAATATTATAAACTAATGACATATGTTATATATTTGCATATACACACTATAGTCTAATATAAAGTATCTTCAAATTTAATAAACTTGCATGCACCCCAAAAATTAAGTGAGAGGCCAGTAGCATAATTTTAAAAATATGTTTTTATTGCATTTAGAATAATTCACTCTACCATCAACATGATTACTAGATTTTTAAAAGTATCATTAAAAATATTCATATTAATATGTGCTAGAGTGTTAGTTTTGTCAGTTTTCAGACAGTCCTAGTTTTCAGACAAATAGATTCTGGATTAATTAAAAAGATGTTTGCTTCTGAAAAAAAAGCATAGTTAAAAGCACATTGACACTGTTTGCTTTCTTAGATTAGCATGTGCTTCCATTGCATGTTTAGCAATCTCTCTCTCTCTCTCTCCAAATTCAATCCAGTAAGAGTCAAAGCCAATAAATATTAAATTTGTTCCTGGCTGAAGCCTAACAAGGAATATCCAATAAAATGTGAAATCACTTGGCTTGTTTCATATGCTTTTGACACAATAGAAATTACATCAATGGAAAGGAATAAATCAATCAATCAGTAATGTATAACTAAGAAAAAGATTCTTGAAATAATGGATTTCCCTAAGAAGGATCAAAATCGGTATCATGACAATGGGAAGGGAAAACCAGAGGAGACAATGAACACCCAAGGAAGTAAGTGGAGAAAGAAAAACAGAAACGAACAAAAATTCCCACCCTCTATTTGTATTCCCAATATCCTACTCCCTCAAGTAGAATATTACAACAGAAAGAATTCTAGTCTTTACTGATCCTTGGCAAGCTACAAACTCTGAGCTGTAGTCCGAACTTCATGTTCAGATTGTTTTCTAAGGAAGGAACATCAACCAATTTATATTTATAGGAAAGCCATAATATACGTGGGTGTTTTGCATGAATGCACATACTTTTAAAAATAACTTGGCATACTATTTCATAAAATAATTTATGAGGTCAAAAAGATTACATCTGAAAAACTGGAACTCCTGTTGACTAGGAGTGAATTAATCACTTAATCTAGTGCTTCATGATATGGTAAGGAGAGGAAGTTATTTTAAAAGTGTCTGTGTGCATGTATGTTATGGCGTTCTGGTAAATACAGTATAAATCAGCCCATGTTCCTTCCTCAGTTAACAGTCACTTAATTTGAGAAAGTGATTAGTTCCCTCAATAACTGATAGAAGACAAGATCTTTGAGCTATTATCCAAAATCATACACCCAATTCTGTGAAGACTGGCATTTATATTTGCTAATAACATTTAACATTCCATTGCTTAACAAGTTGGAACCTAAGCATCATTAGGCAATATCAGGACAGACTCAAAAGCAAAACCTTTTCCTTTAAATAATGTTTAGGGAACATCCAAAAGTTCCACATTTGAAACAGTTTCTTCCAGTTTTTATTTACTTCTCAAAACTAAAGATCACTCTTATTGCAGCATGCGATATTGCAGATTTTTTTATGAGAGCAAAGTCAAAATAGAACAAAAGCTGGGTGGCCAAAAGAACAAGCCCTTATAATTGCAGTATGGGAAAACTTTCTAATAGAAATTGAATGGCAGCTCTATTTTCTTTAAATACACTCAGTTTTTGAATGTCTGAAAAATTACCGGACCTCAGGAAACTTAATTTTCCCACTATCCAAATAGGGCTGATAGATGCTGGTTTAGTAAGCCATACAGTTATGGGCATTATTATGGGTCACATATAATTTTCTCTTTCTCCACCCTAAAGGCCTGTCATCATTAGAAGCTACAATCTTAACCTCTTTCCTAAGTATACTTTTGAAATAAAACACTGCCGTCTATAATTTGTTTTGAACTCAGAGGCATTCAGTTTATCCAACTTTACCACATAACAGTAGTTTTCAAAAGTACCTTTTAAAAGTGTATATATATGTATCCCCACTTACCCACATTTAATGTAAAAGAAAATATAATTTCCAAAATGCATATACTCAATCACATGAGAAGAGGACGTGGGAAATTATGAGCACAGAGCTCAAGTTTCAGGAGGAAAACAGAGATGTGGCTCTATGCATCTGATGAAGTAAATTACACAAAATCTTATAACTTTTGAAATAATTTGATAATCTGAAAGGGTCCAACAAGACTTTCAAAGATTTTTTTGTTAGCACAATCTACAGAACTCTCCTTCAAGTTCCCTAGAGCAATAAGACTTAGGAAAGTCCCTTTAGGGATCCATTTTGGTTTCTTAGAAAAATAGCTCTCTAAAGTGACCCACCACTCTAATATGATTTACAAATGAAGCTCAGAAAGAGTCATTTTTTCATCCTTCACTTTTCAAATATGTATCTTTAAGAAAGAGTTTAGAGAAAAATTCATTCTTTCTTCCTTCAAATGTAAGAATAATTGCCAGTCAATGAAGCTTCACAGGTGGTAGCAGGCTGAATACATATGACTGCATGCAATGATCTTTCCTGTTCTTGAGTTCAGGAGACCCAAACGAAAGGCAGAAAGTTGGAACATTAAAAATTGAAAAATATTTTATTACATACCCTTCTCCGTCACTTCCTATGGATGATACATGATGATGTGCACTAGTGAGAGCTGACTCAAGTATGTGTTGTCTCGACAGAACATTCTGATGCGGTGGTAGAAGGCCAGGTGATGGTCCATTGTGGTTTGTGCTGGAGCTAGTATACATCCCTAAGGAAAGAAAATGTTTGTCAGTGAAAACTTTTTATACTTACTCTAAAAAGCATCTTTTTAGTACAGATATCTCAAACAAGTTGCAATAGGTTAAGTTGTTCTCTTCTATAAAATCTCTTCGTGGATTTGGTTAGAAAGAGTAGCACTATTGTAATAGCTCTTTATAATCATTCATCTTAAGCTGCCAATCATCAATAAAACAGGAACTTTGTCTTAACATTGAGAATGAGAATGAAGTATCTTCCAGATTTTACAAATATAAAATCATATATATCTTAAATATTTAGAATACAGTATAGGGAAAAACTGAAATAGATCAGTTTGTTTCTACTGTGCATGGAAAAACAAAATTGGCTGTGGAGAATAGTTTTCAATGGTTTTTGATTTCACAGTTAAAAGAAAGATTAAAAGTAGACAATAGGATTAGAACTGAATAACAGAAAACAGAATCTGAAGTTGAACTATGTATAAATGATGAATGTATAAGCTTTTATTGAAATTTAAGCAGAAAAAGAACAAGTGAAACACTGCAGTACTATTACTATTAATCTTCTCATCACTCCTTATCACCCATCCCCTCCCACTTGTGGCTATATGACTATAACTTTGTCGCTTATATCCTTATGATCTATATTGACTGTTTCCTAGTATGATTTGATTGCTTATTGTACCCTATGACTATTATTAAGTGTTGTACCTTATGATTCTTGACTCTTAATAAATGTATCTTTTCTTTTATGTATACTGAGAGCATTTGCACCAAAACAAATTCCTTGTGTGTCCAAACACACTTGGTCAATAAAGAATTCTATTCTATTCTATTCTAAAAGTGAAACACTGTATGATAAAATGGGCTAACGTATGTTTGCACATAATAAACTGATGGAACAGTGGCAAAATACATGATTAAAAGGATTGACATTTACATTATGTTATAACATCAGAAAATTTTTGTAAAATGATGTATTATTGGTATATGACTCCAGAAAAATTACTTCAAAATCATGTAAAAAATTACATAAATTAAAGAATTTATGCTAGAGAGTTAGATGGGCTGCAGCACAAGTCCGAAAGCTCAGAAGATAAAACCTCTTGTCCCGATGACCGATCCAGATTGGATCCTGCAACATTATCTTGGGACACATATATTCAGAAAGAAAATAAATAATATAAATTTATTTTTGGGTAGAAATAAAAATGCAAGAGAGTATTTCTTCTGCTTAGTGAAGAGCAATTTTGGAGATAAAAGAACACAAACAAATATAACAATTTTATAACTGCAGTTAAATTGTTTGAATCAAGCCCTAATGCACTAAGGAGGACAACCCAACAGGTGGACTGTAGTTGAACCAGTGAGAAATCAGCTTGTTCTGAAAGGATGTTCACGTGTTTAGATTTATTTATTTAGCATATGGCATGTGTTAGCCAGGGATCACTGAGGAGGCTAGCTATCTCTGTGAAAGGATTTTTTTCAGGTGATGTTATCTTTACTTGAGGGACACCTGAATGCCGGTGCCCGGTAGGCATTCGGGGTAGGCTCCTTTCTTGTCCCTGCGCAGTTTATTCACTCACAGGAATCAAACCAAGCTACCGACCTCAGCGGTGTACAAGCCCAGCATCTTACCACATGAGCCACTGCAGCCCCATACTTATTTAGAGAAAAGGAATCACATGGATATAAAGCATTGAATTCGGTTCCTTGACATAACCAAACCTTCACATGCATCACAGGGAGTGGCCACTTAAAGTGAAATGACCGAAGAAGCATAAAAGCTCTGGATCTCTGAACTTTCCTAATATTGTTCATGAAGCAAGCTGCCTACATGGGAAATATGCTTGCCTGAACTGAAGGTCAAAAGGAGGAGGAGAAGGTCATTGGAAATACAATGCCAATGCCAAGTCTTTTTATAGATTAAGGGAGAATCGTTCTTATGACTGCGCAACTTTGAATCCTATTTTTCTGCCGGTAATCCTCAACTTATAAAACTTCATTTACTAACTGTTCAAAGTTTCAACAACACTGAAATACGTGACTTATGACCGTTTTTTACACTCAGGACTGTTGCAACATCCCCATGGTGACATGATCAAAATTCAGATGCTTGGCCACTGGTTCATATTTATGACAATCACAGTGTCCCAGTGTTATGTGATCAGTTTTTGTGACTTTCGAACAAGCAAAGTCAATGGAATGGAGAAACCAGGTTCGCTTAACAACTGTGTAACTAACTTAACAACTGCAGTGATTCTCTTAACAATTGTGGCAAGAAATGTTGTAAAATGGGGCAAAACTCACTTAACAAATGCCTCACTTAGCAACATAAATTTTGGGATCAATTGTGGCCATAAGTTGAGGATTGCCTGTATACCAGCTTTAAAATAACCCCTTAGCAAGCTGTTAACATTATTTTAATGCATAGATTGTTTTTCTTTCTGAATAAATAACAAATAGGATAAAAGTTTTTACCAATGCTGATATCAGGAAAGACATTCAAATTCAGCACCGACCTCTTAAAATGAATCAAGAAATTATATGAACATTAGTAAGAGAGTGTACAACTCTAGTGACTTATACTGAATGGTATAAACTAACATCCTTCAAAACTCAAACTGGTTTCCCCAAATTTGCATTTTTTAATCCCAGTTTGCTGACTTCCTGTTACAGTACTGGCTTTGGAACAAACAGTTGGATTTGCATGTGATGTGTATTAGCACTCTCCACATTTCCATTTCCCCCCTCATATTTTGATAACTGCTCCAACCACAAGCCTTTTCTTATATTGAGGGAAAGTCTTTTTGAGAACACATGACAAGTTATTACAAGCTATTAAAAAAAATGTTATTTTATAATTTTATTCTCTGCAGATAGTATAATGCTGTGATGTTGAACCTATAGCACGTGTGCCACAGGTGGCGCACAGAGCCATTTGTGTAGGCATGCGAGCCCCAAACTTACCTTACTGCGCATGCACGTGCCTCCCAGCTGATTTTCGGCCCATTTGAGGCCTTTTTCGGCCTTTCAGAGGCTTGAGGGAAACCTCTGCAGCCTTTGAAGGCCCCAAAACAGCCCTGTTTCATCACTTCCTGTATTTCCAGAAATACCAGAAGTGATGAAATGGGCCCATTTTTCGTCCACCAAAGGCTGCAGAGGCTTCCCTTGAGTCTCTGAAAGGCTGAAAAAGGCCTCAAATGGACCAAACATCAGCTGGCAGGCGCACGCATGTGCAGTGCAGGTAAGAAGGCGGCACGGGGGAGAATCACATGTGCATGCGCTGGGGGTGTGGGGGCCACGCGCATTGCCTTCTGGGTGCTGGCATATGAGCGTGTGCACATGAGCATGCATGCAATTTTCGGCACAGGACACCAAAAAGGTTAGCCACCACTGGTATAATGGATTCTGCCTCTGTTTTCATTTATATTTCAGACACCTGTATGATTTCAGGATGTTATAATTTCTTTCTTAGGGCATCTTGGTGTGCTTAGTCCATATGCTAATATTCATATGACATTTTAAAATATGTTATATTATATTGTATTACATTACATTGATTACATTCTATTATTATGGTATATTATTCCTAGCCATCACATTACTATTTGATTGGAATAGAAATCAAATAAATGTCCCATATAAGAGGTGAAAAAAGGGAGAAAAAGCACATGTCTAGATTCCTGAAGAATACAGGTGCTTCCAGAGCCGTTCACTTCCAGAAAGCTTACGCTGTCTGAAAAGTTGCACTTCTGAATAAACAAATGAAGCAGTTGACATAAACAAAAAAGATACTGTAGGCAATATCATTTGGAGCTTGCTTCTGAATATAATGGTACCATGGCAAACTAAAAATACCTAAGTCTTATAACAATCAGATGAGACGTACACTAGTGTCTAAATGTAGTTTAGGTACGTCCTACTGATCCTGGCCAAAGAGTAATAAAATAATTGAATTTAATAATTCAATATAATATGGCAAAAAAAAAAAGTATTTGACGTAAGTTTGTTAAAAACATACCTTGCAAGCAACAGAGTATTTTCATAAGAGTAACAATTTGGAAATTAAGACACAATCTCATAGTTACGGAGTGCAATAGGATTTAGCTGAAACACGTGTACAGAAGTAGGATTATCAAAGCTGCTGTTGAGTCAGCTTTAACATTCATACTACAGATAGCTGTCGACTTATGACAATAACTGATTCAAAGCTTCTGTTGCTAAGCAAGGCAGTTGTTAAGTGAGTCATGCCCCATTTTACAACCTTTTTTGCCATTGTTAAGTGAATCTCTTCAGTTGCTAAGTTAGTAACATGATTGTTAAGAAAATCTGTCTTCCCTGTTGACTTCGCTTGTCAGAAGTTCGCAAACGCTGATCACATGACCCTGGGATACTGCAACCATCATAAATACTTGCCAAGCATCTAAATTTTGATCATGACCATGAGGATGCTGCAACAGTTGTCAGTGTGAAAAATAGTCATAAGTCACTTCAAATAGTCACTAAACAAATGGTTGTAATTTGAGGACTACCTGTATAATAAATTTCATACAGAGAACAAGATTTTAAAAAGCAGAATAGTACAATGGAACTAGGAGCAGAGCTAATTCTACTTTAGGAAAGAAAGAAAGTTAAGAAATCATATGGAAATTAAGGGAAATAAATCCGTATCTCTTGTTTTTTATAAAACAGGACAATTCTATTATAAATAGATTTGATTTTAAATTGAATCTATCTTAGTAATGCTCTGGTCCTTCAGATACAATTGCCTCAAATTTTAATAATTTAAAACTGAGAAATTAGACTCTAATCAATAAACTCTTTTGCTTGGAATGCACATGGGTTGTTTATATCTAGAACTACAGATCTCTTAAATTGCTGTCTAGGGATTACATGGTCGTAAAAAGAGAATTTTTAGTTAGTATTCACAATTACAAAAGCAATTTTAATTTTTGTACACTTTTTAGTAAACTTTAAGTTATTTTTTGAGAAGTTTCTTTTTTGTGGA